AAGAAACTGCAAGAGGTGAGAATACGTGGAGAGCTAAACTATTGGAGGTGGCGACAAGAAACTTCTTAAGACAACATGTCAGGGAACCCACAAGGATGAGAGGAAATGACGAACCAGCGAGACTTGATCTAGTCTTCACTCAGAACGACGCTGACATAAGGGACACAGGTTTCGAGGCCCCAGTAAGAATGAGCGACCACAGTGTACTGACGTTTGAGTATCTGGTTGAAGAAGGGTTAAGGAACTCGAGGAGGGGAACTGAAAACAAAAGGCTGGCATTCCGAAAGGGAAACTATGAGGAGATAAGAAAATTCCTAACAGATATAACATGGGAAACAGAGCTCAGAGGAAAGACGGCCCAAGACATGATGGACTACATCACGCAGAAGTGTAAGGACGCAGCAGACAAGTTTGTCCCGGTCCAAAAGGAAAACAACAAAATGCAGATGGTTTAATGGTTTAAACTCATGGTTTAATGGTTTAAACTCATGGTTTAATGGTTTAAACTCATGGTTTAATGGTTTAAACTCATGGTTTAATGGTTTAAACTCATGGTTTAATGGTTTAAACTCATGGTTTAATGGTTTAAACTCATGGTTTAATGGTTTAAACTCATGGTTTAATGGTTTAAACTCATGGTTTAAACTCATGGTTTAATGGTTTAAACTCATGGTTTAATGGTTTAAACTCATGGTTTAATGGTTTAAACTCATGGTTTAATGGTTTAAACTCATGGTTTAATCAGAGATGTAGGCTAGCTAAGCAGCAAAGTAAAAGGGCATGGAGAAACTGTAAAAATAACAGGAGACTGGAGAGCAGAGAAAGATACCAATATGCCAGGAATGAATATGTCAGGATGAGAAGAGAGGCAGAAGGGCAATACGAAAATAACATCGCAAGAGAGGCAAAGACTCAGCCCAAGTTGCTGCATAGCAACATCAGGAGAGTAAAGTAAAAGAAAAGCAGTAGGTAATGAGTACCAACAGTTAAAGAACAGGTAATGACATTGAGGATGGGGGCAGACAGATTCACTACAAACGACAAGGAAGTGTGCAAGGAACTCAATAAAAAATTCCAGGAGGTCTTCACATTAGAGCAAGGGGAAGTTCCAGAGACAAGAGAGGGAATAGTTAACCAGGAACTACTAGAAGAGTTTGAGATTACCACTTTGAAGGAAACCAACGTCGCCTATGCCTTTAAATGCCCACTTGGGGACTGTAAGCCCCAAAGAACTCAGTACATAGGCTAGACAACAACGTCTCTTTCCAGGCGACTAACACTGCATAAACAACAGGTCTCCATCAAGGAACACATAATCTCTTCTCACAACCAGACAACTTTCTCACAACTTTCTTCTCACATCGAAAGGTACAGCGATAGCAGGCGGCTCGACATCTGCGAGGCACGACACATCAAAAAGTCAACACCAGTAATCAACAGCCAATTAATGCACAACTATATTCTACCCACTTCAAGACTCTGTACCAATATAGAAGCATCAAGAGGAATTTTAGGCCAATAGGCCCTTTGCAGTTACTTCCATTCTTCCCTCTCATTTATCCAATTAATACCCATTGTTCCGTGTTCTGTCTTGTGTTGGTCAAAAGTTTGTTCACCTCATCCAAAACTGTTGCAACATATCACCTCACCCAAGTGCGAGTATATAAGACAACCTGTTTAGTTTAGGCATAAGTAAAACTCTGTTTAGTGTTTGCAGGTTATAGTTGTGTGTGTGTAAACTAAAGTCTTTGAAAATGTAATAAGTTATTACGAAACGCGTTCAAGCGTCGAGTCAGACTAGAAATAAAAATGAATTTTGGAGAACTGATTTTTCAATTACCATCGACAGTAAAAAGAAACATAAGAAATATTGAAAAAATTCGTGTTAGAATTATTAATCTTACTTTTTCGGTCATATTTAACAACATATGTTTACAAGAAAGACTGCTACCAAAATATACTAATATATATATATATATATATATATATATATATATATATATATATATATATATATATATATATATATATATATATATATATATATATATATATATACCCCAAGATCCTCCACACACACACACAATATGTAACAAGATTTTATTTTACTTTGAATTTTATACTGGAGACATCACCCGGCGTCTCTCTTTCCGAAATTAAACTGGAAGAAAATCCCCCATGTTTAAAATGGCCGAGTTGTGAGCCCCACAGCTTATCGTTCAAGCTGCCTGTGTGTGTTGGTATGTTTATGTGCGCTGTGTGTTTGTTGTTGTGCTTGTGTGTGGGTATGTGTGTGTTTATGTGTGGGTTCTTTTTTTGTACGTGTGTGTGTGTGTGTTTGTTTGTGTATTTACTATTTGTGCCTGCAGAATTGAGCTGTTAGCTCTTGGACCCCGCCTTTCTAACTGTCGGATGTCTAAAATAATGACTCCCGACCTATTATCCCCAAGGAAGCAGCTCGTAGCAGCTGTCTAACTCCCAGGTAACTAGTTACTTCTGGGTGAACAGGGCCATCAGGGGGAAAAACTTTCCCCATTTGTTTCTGCCTCAACAATGAATCAAACCCGGGCCCTTTGAACTACGACACCTGAGTACTGTCCCCTCAGCTGCGAGGACCTGTTAGTCTTTGTCCACCCCTGTCAATTCATCTGATAATTTTGTAGGTGGTGATCATGTCTCCCCTTACTCTTCTGTCTTCCAGGGACGTGAGGTTTATCTCCCGGAACCTTTCCTCGTACCTCATACCTCTCAGTTCTGGGACTAGTCTGGTGACATACCTCTGATCTTCTCTAACTTTGTCTTGTGTTTAACTAGGTATGGGCTCCAGGCTGGCGCTGCATACTCCAGGATTGGTCTGGCATAGGTGGTATACAAGGTTCTGAATGATTCCTTATACAAGTTTCTAAAGGCAGTTGTTATGTTGACCAATCTAGCATATGCCGCTGATGATGATGAGATGATGTGTGTGTGTGTGTGTGTGTGTGTGTGTGTGTGTGTGTGTGTGTGTGTGTGTGTGTGTGTGTGTGTGTGTGTGTGTGTGTGTGTGTGTGTATTTATTACTTGTGCTTGCAGAATCGAGCTCTTAGCTCTTGGACCCCGCCTTTCTAACCAATAAATTTGTTCCTCTCTTATGTCTACTGCATATATTTCTCTCTAACATACACACACACACATCCCTAGGTGAGTACACGCCCGTAACAGCTGTCTAACTCCCAGCTACATATTTACTACTAGGTAACAGGAGCAGAAACTCTGCCCATTTTGTTTCTGCCATCAGCCTGGATCGAACCCGGACCCTAGGATTACGAGTCAAGAGCGCTGTCCACTCAGCTATCAAGCCCCTTAGACATCGGCTCCGTGTGTGTGTGTGTGTGTGTGTGTGTGTGTGTGTGTGTGTGTCACCTAACTGTACTCACCTAATTGTGCTTGCAGGGGTTGAGCTCTGCTCTCAACCGTCAATCAACAACATTGTGTGTGTGCGTGTGTGTGTGTGTGTGTGTGTGTGTGTGTGTGTGTGTGTGTGTGTGTGTGTGTGTGTGTGTGTGTGTGTGTGTGTGTGTGTGTTTTTCTCTTTCTTTCTCAACCCAATTGTAATGTTCGCTCGGGAAACGATAACTAGTGGGAACGGGCGAACCCGCCAGAAATAGTGGCTCCGGCGTGAGCAGGCCGCCTTGATGGATGAATTGCAACCCGCGTCTTCTTGAATGAAACTATCTGAAAACTGCTCCTGGTAGATCCCCGTTCGAGGCTGGTAAAAATATTGTGTTCTGGGCGGCATGGATGTGATTGGCCTCCGAGATCTGTGTACTCACATAGTTAAACTCACCTAGTTGTGCTTGCGGGGGTTGAGCTCTGGCTCTTTGGTCCCGCCTCTCAACTGTCAATCAACTGGTGTACAGGTTCCTGAGCCTATTGGGCTCTATCATATCTACATTTGAAACTGTGTATGGAGTCAGCCTCCACCACATCACTGCCTAATGCATTCCATCCGTTAACTACTCTGACACTGAAAAAGTTCCTTCTAACGTCTCTGTGGCTCATGTGGGTACTCAGTTTCCACCTGTGTCCCCTTGTTCGTGTCCCACCAGTGAGAAGTTACAGCGGTAGTTACAGAGGTTACATGTGAGGACAGGGGCTGTTACAGAAGAGAGAGAGAGATAGAGGGGGGAAAACTCTTCGGAGGAATACATGATTTGAAGAGGCCACAAGATGACTTAAACAGACTTCGTCACACACACCGTCAGTAGTGTCAAAGCGTTATATGACAAAGAGTGCTGGGAAGACGGGACACCACGAGCGTAGCTCTCATCCTGTAACTACACTTAGGTAATTACACTTAGGTAATTACACACACACATATACCAGCCCGTCCTTCCAGCTACATACATACATATACATGCATACATACACATACATACATACATACATACATACATACATACATACATACATACAGTATATGGTACAGTACGTATATCTGTAATGGATCAGTAGTCTCGTGTAACCACATAATTCCTAAGCGTGACGTGTCAACTAACGACACACTTATTGTCAGAGATAAAGCGAGAGACCGTTGAGGAATGTGCAGTGAATGATGGCTTCTTCATTTTAAGTTTAAATTTAAATTTAACAGTCGTTAGCGGTTGTTTTTTAGGAATGTTCCGGGCGCTGAGCGGGGATTGGTCGAGGCTCCCGGGTGCTGAGCGGGGATTGGTCGGGGCTCCCGGGCGCTGAGCGGGGATTGGTCGGGGCACCCGGGTGCTGAGCAGGGATTGGTCGGGGCTCCCGGGCGCTGAGCGGGGATTGGTCTGGCACCCTGTCGCTGAGCGGGGATTGGTCGGGGCTCCCGAGTGTGGACTTAGTGTTCGGAAGGCATAATGCACGCTCATTGGTCCTTCACTATGAGAATGTGCGTTGATTGGTTCTAGTAATCAATACATTTTTACTGGTTTTAAACATCAGGGCGCGTGCTGATTGGTTCTGAACCATCTGAACGTGCAATGATTGGTTCTGAACCATCTGGACGTGCAATGATTGGTTCTGAACCATCTGAACGTGCAATGATTGGTTCTGAACCATCTGAACGTGCAATGATTGGTTCTGAACCATCTGAACGTGCAATGATTGGTTCTGAACCATCTGAACGTGCAATGATTGGTTCTGAACCATCTGGACGTGCAATGATTGGTTCTGAACCATCTGAACGTGCAATGATTGGTTCTGAACCATCTGGACGTGCAATGATTGGTTCTGAACCATCAGGACGTGCAATGATTGGTTCTGAACCATCTGGACGTGCAATGATTGGTTCTGAACCATCTGAACGTGCAATGATTGGTTCTGAACCATCTGAACGTGCAATGATTGGTTCTGAACCATCTGGACGTGCAATGATTGGTTCTTAACCATCTGAACGTGCAATGATTGGTTCTGAACCATCTAGACGTGCAATGATTGGTTCTGAACCATCTAGACGTGCAATGATTGGTTCTGAACCATCTGAACGTGCAATGATTGGTTCTGAACCATCTGAACGTGCAATGATTGGTTTTGAACCATCTGAACGTGCAATGATTGGTTCTGAACCATCTGGACGTGCAATGATTGGTTCTGAACCATCTGGACGTGCAATGATTGGTTCTGAACCATCTGAACGTGCAATGATTGGTTTTGAACCATCTGGACGTGCAATGATTGGTTCTGAACCATCTGAACGTGCAATGATTGGTTCTGAACCATCTGAACGTGCAATGATTGGTTCTGAACCATCAGAACGTTCAATAGCAATTGGTCCCAAGTCATCAACACAAATAATGAGCTGTCTGTATGCTGACTGAATGACGGACATAACATCGTGTATATCTGCAGTAATATTATCATTCCTATTACTGTGAACTCTGTGTAATAATACAGATATTAACACAGCGCGCTGCGGACCGAGCAGTGACGATATTTTCACCGAGAGAGACACTGCCGTATGGGTTCCGGGCGTGTCACTGTATTTTCTGTGAGAATACATGTTGTATGATAAGGTTACATAACGATTATTTAGGTTAGGTTTCGTTTGGTTAGAAGAGGTTAGGTTAGGTTAGGTTAGGTTAGGTTAGAGGTTAGTAAGAGTTCCCAACACTGCACAACTTATTGTCGGTGCTCCAAGCATCAAGTAATATTTAAATATTCTGTTTTACTAACAAATTTATGTATATGTAATTTATACAGCTGCCCTAGACTATATGAAGGGTTACACAGTGTGTGTCAAGAGCCAGCTGTGTGATACTAAGGTACCTGGACATTTATACAGCTGCCCTAGACTATATGAAGGGTTACACAGTGTGTGTCAAGAGCCAGCTGTGTGATACTAAGGTATCTGGACATTTATACAGCTGCCCTAGACTATGTGAAGGGTTACACAGTGTGTGTCAAGAGCCAGTTGTGTGTTACTAAGGTATCTGGACATTTATACAGCTGCCCTAGACTATATGAAGGGTTACATAGTGTGTGTCAAGAGCCAGCTGTGTGATACTAAGGTACCTGGACATTTATACAGCTGCCCTAGACTATATGAAGGGTTACACAGTGTGTGTCAAGAGCCAGCTGTGTGATACTAAGGTATCTGGACATTTATACAGCTGCCCTAGACTATATGAAGGGTTACACAGTGTGTGTCAAGAGCCAGCTGTGTGATACTAAGGTATCTGGACATTTATACAGCTGCCCTAGACTATATGAAGGGTTACATAGTATGTGTCAAGAGCCAGGTGTGTGATACTAAGGTATCTGGACATTTATACAGCTGCCCTAGACTATATGAAGGGTCACATAGTGTGTGTCAAGAGCCAGCTGTGTGATACTAAGGTACCTGGACATTTATACAGCTGTCCTAGACTATATGAAGGGTTACACAGTGTGTGTCAAGAGCCAGCTGTGTGATACTAAGGTACCTGGACATTTATACAGCTGTCCTAGACTATATGAAGGGTTACACAGTGTGTGTCAAGAGCCAGCTGTGTGATACTAAGGTATCTGGACATTTATACAGCTGCCCTAGACTATATGAAGGGTTACACAGTGTGTGTCAAGAGCCAGCTGTGTGATACTAAGGTACCTGGACATTTATACAGCTGCCCTAGACTATGTGAAGGGTTACACAGTGTGTGTCAAGAGCCAGCTGTGTGATACTAAGGTACCTGGACATTTATACAGCTGCCCTAGACTATGTGAAGGGTTACACAGTGTGTGTCAAGAGCCAGCTGTGTGATACTAAGGTACCTGGACATTTATACAGCTGCCCTAGACTATGTGAAGGGTTACACAGTGTGTGTCAAGAGCCAGCTGTGTGATACTAAGGTATCTGGACATTTATACAGCTGCCCTAGACTATGTGAAGGGTTACACAGTGTGTGTCAAGAGCCAGCTGTGTGATACTAAGGTACCTGGACATTTATACAGCTGCCCTAGACTATGTGAAGGGTTACACAGTGTGTGTCAAGAGCCAGCTGTGTGATACTAAGGTACCTGGACATTTGTACAGCTGCCCTAGACTATATGAAGGGTTACACAGTGTGTGTCAAGAGCCAGCTGTGTGATACTAAGGTACCTGGACATTTGTACAGCTGCCCTAGACTATATGAAGGGTTACACAGTGTGTGTCAAGAGCCAGCTGTGTGATACTAAGGTACCTGGACATTTATACAGCTGCCCTAGACTATATGAAGGGTTACACAGTGTGTGTCAAGAGCCAGCTGTGTGATACTAAGGTACCTGGACATTTATACAGCTGCCCTAGACTATATGAAGGGTTACACAGTGTGTGTCAAGAGCCAGCTGTGTGATACTAAGGTATCTGGACATTTATACAGCTGTCCTAGACTATATGAAGGGTTACACAGTGTGTGTCAAGAGCCAGCTGTGTGATACTAAGGTATCTGGACATTTATACAGCTGTCCTAGACTATATGAAGGGTTACACAGTGTGTGTCAAGAGCCAGCTGTGTGATACTAAGGTACCTGGACATTTGTACAGCTGCCCTAGACTATATGAAGGGTTACACAGTGTGTGTCAAGAGCTAGGGAATCTGTTGATGCGTGGACCGGATATTTGATGTCGTTATGAACACAAATTGTCTTTTACAGCCAAAGTATGAAAGGTCAAATCATTTTTTTAATTTTGGAGTGATCAGCGCATCAAGAATTGCATTATATAATAATAATAATAATAATAATAATAATAATAATAATAATAATTTCGTGTGTGGGAATGACACAGTGTCACGTGGCGCAGTTTTATTTGATGGGAGTTCCGACCTGCCCATGTTGTGCACGAACCTAACAGCAATTACTGGGAAAAAAATTAAGTGAAGCTAAGGCAGTTACGATTACAACTCATATTAATTACTTGTATTAACAGGTAGTTTATGCAAGTAATTACGGCCGGTAATTACTACAGGTAGTTATGACAGATAATTAAAACAAGTATGACAGCTAGTTACTACAGACACTTACAAGTAGTTACAACGCGAGTTACAGTTGTCACATCACACTTCCAGTCAGCTCCCTTCGGTCCTATATGAAAAAAAACAGAATTAGAAAACACAATTTAGACAATAATACACAAATTGCTTTAACCCAAAAAAATCCCACATACAACGGTGATTCGGCCGAGGGACGTGACAGGTCAATTTACAAAACAAGTATTTTTCATCACCGACACAATACCGTAAATGAAACGACACAACCATTTCGGAATTGATTTTGATGAGTTAAAGAAAACTGTCCTTAAGGGGGGTGACTCCCTTCATCTGGATACCCCCACACAACCACGACGAAGGTATACAATAAGGACTCTAATTGTGTTTACGGTGTCTTGGAGGTAACATAAGAGACGTTAGGGGATCACTGGGTTGTTTCAAGCGAAGGTTAGACATATATATATATAATCACACTTACCCTCCTTCCCCTAAAAAGTGTGAACATAAAGAACACATTACTCATGCAGCACAACACTCACTATCTACACCCTCCAACTTGCCCAACATTTCCCGGCGTGTATAGATACACTAGCAACACTCACTAGCCACAATACACCCTGTGTAAAGGCGCCGCTTTTTCATACACTTCCACACGGCTTTAAGTACCTATTCAGCTCTGAAAAGTCTTATTAGTTTTATCCCTCCTCTCACCTTCCCTTTCCAGACATGTTGCGTATGTGGAAGAGGAACAGAGATTGGAGAGAGGAAGGAGGGGATAGAGAGAGAGACAGGAAGTAGAATAGGAAGCGAGAGAAAAAAGAGAAAGGAGGTACAGGAAAAGGAAGCAAGGAGAAACTTTTATGAATTGTTAAGAAGCCTTCCTTGACTTTTATCTGATATTTTCTTCTCTCCCTCTCACTCTCCTCCTCTCTCTCTCTCCCTCCCTCCCTCCCTCCCCCTCCCTCTCCTTCTTCCTTCCCTCTCCCTCTCTCTGTGGAAGACTACGGTACCAACTTTATGTGCATACTTTTTTTTATATTTCTGAGCTTGCTTGAGCTCTTAAACTTTGGCAGGATCTCAGGAAGCATTTTACACCAGTTCCCCCTCGGGCTCTCCTTCCCCAGACGCGCCTTTGTCTACCTCTGGTGCTCCGGCGCGCCAGCACACACAAATAACAACACAGCAACCTTATACCCAAACTCCACAAAATACCCCCATGTGGACAAAATTATTTCAAAATACCGGGACAATTTTTTTGAGTTTGTTTTGGAATGAAAAGCGCTGGTACTGAATGTTTACATATATATATGTGTGTGTGGCGGGAAGTGTTCATACAAAGTGTTTAAATATGTCCAGACATTCTTATGGGAAGTTGTTTATATTAAATATATAAAGGATATATATATATTTGAACACTTGTTCGGTCTTTATACAGGCCTCCAGGGGTTGATAGCCCTTAGGCCCAACACCCAAATGTGTTTTTACATATACATGGCCTATTCAGGTGTTTACATATACATGGCCTATAGAGGTTGCCGCGAGATTCGTTTCTAATCCTGAAAGGGCAAAGTTGAATTTGAAATTTACATTAAAAAGTGCCTTGAACATTTTATATAAATACCCACCAAATTTCCTTTATTTTATTTTATTTTTTTATTTAATGTGAAGTTCACCAAAATGTTTTGAGTTGCTTGTATCAAAGTGGTTTGACGTACCATAAATGGCATTTTATATCAAAATGCCTAAAAAAATACGCAATGCATTTTCTTTGCATGAATATAGTTCATTCATACTGGAAAAAAGCATGAAATCAATGAAAACTAATATATATATACACGAAAAATACTCGTTCATTCAAGGAAAACATGAAGTTTTCAAAACGTGAAGTTTTGAAAGTGTGAAGTTTTCTCCGTGTTTGAGTTAAGACTTGCTGGCTG